AAGAGTGGGTTGCACCATGCCACACCCAAAGCAGACTCGGGTTTTCAATGGGTTTTACATGGTTTTACCATGTACACCCATGGAAACAGGGGGTGTTTGTTTTTTTTCCTTGCTTAGCTCCAGACTCTAGCGACTCTAGCGGCTGTATTCCTGCAACCTGCCATCACCCTGTGACTCGGACTGACCCAGCGTCGACCAATCTTCTGGCCCTCGAACTCTACCTTGAGACACGGTGAACAAGCTGTGATTGCTTGCTTAGGGGCATTCATTTGAGCAGGTAAAGCCTTGGAAAACCTGGGGAAAACCGACACTTGGACCTGAGACTGAGATGAAGGCAGGAATCACCATTCACCATGTTTACAAAGGAATGTATGGTCAAGTATGTTGGCAATACAAAGTACCGCGCGCTTTCGCTCGTGCGGGAGGTCTCAAGGAGCCATTCTTATCGGATACGTCTTGCAGCATTGGGCAAGGTGGTCTGGGGCACCAAAAAGGTGGGTCTTGTACTCACACGAGTCATGACAATGATGACATAATGAGAGGGCACAAACCACCGCCCCAGCACATAATTGCTGGCCACCATGAACCAGGCACACTGAAGAAGCTGTCCCACCAAAGCTGCCACGCTAAAAGAGAATACACTGTTGGAGAAAAGCACAGCAAGACCCAGAAAAAAAGAAACACACATATCCAAGCAAACTTGCAAAGCCTTCCATTTTTTCCGCTGTTCAAAGTTCCCTACGGGCCTGGATCTACAAATCAGTGACTCGACATTTTCAGCCCAAGGGCAGTGCCGCCCTCGCGCTTGATCGGTGGCAACCGCAAGCCAGTCAAAGGGTCCGTCGCTACACACCCAGCCTGAAGTGGCACGACAATTTGAGCAAGGCTTGTTTAAAGGTCCCTAGTCCCTAGGCCCTATAGTGGATATAGTACTTAATATACTAAAACAAAAAAGTCGTAACAACATGGGGGTTTTGATCTTCAGTCGAATCATGTCTATAGTCCCTAATACACAGTTCTCAGCCGGAAAAGCACCACCTCACCAACGAGAGTCGGTCTTGCAATCAAAGCAAAAACACATCCCCAAAGAACACATGATATAAGTATGATAATGTG